TGGCATATTTGGAGCTCTGTACCCAAATTAAATTGCCTAAGGGGAAAGTTTGGGAGTGGCCTCAACCCCAGCGGAGGAGGACTGAGAGCTGCCTGGAGGAAAAGGGAAAAAAATCCACGTGGTGGCTTGTCTAGAGAGTTTATCTGGGTTCCAGTGTTTGTGATGTAAAACCGTTCCCTTTCTCCCCTACAGGATCCTCAGCACAATCTACACTGCTCCAAATGCTTTTGTAAGAGCCCCTGATTTCCGGGGAATGTAAGAGTGTTAAATTCTGTCCACTACTGGGCAGGAGGCAAAAAGAGACCCCACAAAAGAACTGCCAGGCTGCTGGATTATGAGAGCAGCAGTTGCATTGAGGTGCCTCACAGAACCAGAGAGGTTATTGAAAGCACCCAGGTAGGATCTGTAAGGAAATCTTTCTGGAGCCCAAGAACAGTGATTACAGTGGGCTGGATATGGAATTAGAGCCGTGGCCGATACAGAGCAAAGCAAGTGGAGCTCTAGTCCACTTGCTTTGCTCTGAATGTGGGGCGCATTCTCCTGTCCACGAGTAGGCTCACTGGCTTTACTCATGTCCTTTATTTTCCTTCTCATTTTCAGTTCTTTCCTTTTTATGGACTTGCAGTGTAGAGTCAACTTAATCATATTCCTCAGTTCTTGGAGCACCATCATCACCAGCCCATACGAGGTCTTCTTGTTTTATTTGTATTTTTTCCTTTATCTCCAATTCTCATTCCCATTCACCTCTTCTCCATAGGCAGCCTCTCTAATGTTTTTCGTATGTCCTCCATAGGCAGCCTCTCTAAGGTTTTTCGTATGTCCTTGGGTACATAGGGATCCCTGAATATACAAATAGTACTGCACTAGTTCTGGTTTTTTGGGGTTTTTTTTAACCCAGTACCATGGTTTTAAGATTAGTCATATGGCTGTATGCACATCTAGTTTATGGCTTCTAATTGCTGAATGGTATTCTATNGGGGGTGCCATGCTGTGGACTGCAAGATGCTGGAGAGAGGCAGGAAAGGAAAGTGGAGATTATTTCTAATGGGAGGGACTGATAGTTACCTGACTCTTCTGGCCCAGAGAGGTTATGGGGATGTAAACCCAGAGAGCCTGGGTGACTTACCCAAGTCATACACTGTGTTCATGTTAAGGGCTTTGATGTCAGACAGTCTTAGGTTTGAGTGTCGGCTCTTCCAATTGTGTGACTTGGGTGAATCTCTTAATTTCTCTAAATATGGGGATAATAAAAGCACCTCCCTCATAGAGTAATTGCAAAAATTATAAGAAACAATCCATGTAAAATGCTTAGCATGGTCCCTGGCAGAAAGAACATTATGTAATCCTATTTCACATCAGGTCTGGCTGATACCTCAAGGCCTCCATCACATCTTTTTTTTTTTTTTAAAGATGACCAGTAAGGGGATCTTAACCCTTGACTTGGTGTTGTCAGCACCACGCTCTCCCAGTGAGCTATGGGATCCGAACTTGTGGCCTGGGTGTTATCAGCACCACACTCTCCCGAGTGACCCACGGGCTGGCCCATCACCTCTTCTTGGAAGCAAAACCCACCCCCAGGATAAGGCTGAGACAGAGAAGCCAGCACAAATGAACGGACTACAGAGTCCCAAATTAGTAAGGAGGCATGATGTAAAAGAAAAGTCTAATGAGTAGGTGATAAATAGATACATCTCTCTGGAGGAGGAAAGTTTTAGCTGATATTTTAGGGAAAAAATGATGTACGGAATCCCTGACAGGAAGGACAGGTGGAATCTAAATGCATGTTCTTGTCTTTCTTTTGTAGGATGTCAGAGTCAACCACAGCAGGTAGGGCCCGTTCTCCATCCCACCTCCTTTCTACTTGATATTGAGACCAAGGGGGAGAGGCGCTCACTGCCGCCCACTCCCCCCATGGATGGCTACTCAGAAAAGCAGAAGACTCTGACAGACACTCTGTCTCATTCCTTACACACAAACAATCCAGACTCACGAAAGGTTTGTGTTCTAAAGGTTCGTTCTTAAACTGATTGGTTGGTATTGGTGACACGTTTTTTTTTTTTTGTAGAAGTGAAGTTATAAATAATAATCATGTTTTTAGGGGGATCCAAGAACATCTATTTAATACATGAAATTATTAGTCCTTGAGTCAGTATCTAATACTATTTAAAATGTAATTCAAAGGGGAAATATTTGCTATAGACTATGGTAAGCATGGAACCTGAGAAGACCAGCCTGTTCTTTCATTCCTTTTTCCCACTCAACTTCCCCTGTTTCCTTTGGAATTTTAAAACGCTACTATAAAAGGACAGCCACCAGGAGCTGGGAGGCATTGTACATAAATGCAAGTCCCTTTCCTTTCCTCTCTGCTGTCTGCATTAGCCGTCTGCGCTGAGATGAAAAGAGCCATAAGGACTAGGGCACACTTGCCATATGCTTTGTGCCCATTCATGGGTAGGAGGGGATAAACCCAGGTGTCCGTAAATGAGGAAGTGTCTCCAAACATACTTTTCAAAGAGTGTTAGAAATTTAGATCTAGAAGGGCCTTGGAGATCCTCCAGTCTGATGAAGAAGCTGAGACCCAGATGGTAAAGTGCTAGCTCAGGGTCACACAGCTAGTGACTAAAGAGGACTAGGATGGGACCAGAACCAGGGGATTTTTCACTGCAATATATATTTTCTTTCATCTTTTTTCTTCCCTCCTAGCCCTTTTCCTCTTATAAAGATCAGCACACAAATTAGAAAAATTTAAGGCTGTTTTTCAAATGGTACCCTATTGCCCTCTAGAGACGAATAGAGGTAATGATTTCTGCCTCAGCCACCGTGGACCCAACATTCTCCTTAGAGCCTACCTCCAATTCGGAGGTTACCATTAGTTCCTCTTAGGTTTAACTTAAATGACTATTGCTTTAGTAACTATATATTTCCAGCAAAGGTAAAGAAATGATATTAAATCTAATTATTCACCACAGAGACCAAGACCATTCTTTAGTCTGATTTTAGCCTCACTTAGTCTGCATCACCCAAACATTATTTTTGGAATTTGGACCGAACTTGTTACCAACTTGTCTGCAGGTGTGAAATGAAGACTTTTGTGAGTCCAGAGGCCATTTCTCCTGACCTTGTCAAGAAGATCCGCGGTCTCCACAGGAAAATACTCACCCTCCCAGAGATGATGAGGACGTTCTCAGGTAAAGGGGTGGGGGCCGCAGCTTTCCCTATTCCCATTAGTTGCCCGCTTGCCTACCACCCATCTCCATCTTCCCCCACCTTCAAAACCAGGCTCAAGGTGTCTTCCTTCCTCAAAGCCTTCCCTTAGTGATCTCAGTGTACTCAGGGAGCCATTCCCTAGAGAATCTCCTTCGCTCCCCAAGGACAGGTGCTGGACTGAGTCTGGGAAGACAAGGACCACATCTCTCCCATTAGACCACAGCAGAAGCTGAGACTTTTCCCATCCCTATCCTGACATTTTGCCGAGGACACCCTGCCCTTGCGACAGCCCGTAAAAAATAATAAGTCACAGATCTTTCTTTCTATCTCTGCTTCCTCAGAAAACTTGGTGCATCATCTGGAAACAGATTCAGGTAAACAGCTGCGGGTTTCAGGAGCCATTTTTTTTTTTTTTTTTCATTGATGCATTCAATCCATGGCAGCAAACAGAACAACTAAATGGGTGAATTCTGGATCCCGATTGCTTAGGTTCTCTGTTTTAGTTCTTGCTAGCTATAAAACACTGAGAAAGTTATTAAGACTCTTTGTCCCACAGTTTCTTCATCTTTAAATAGAAAAAAATAATAGCACCTGCCCCATTAATAGCTGTGAAGATTAAGTGCATTGATACATGCAAAGAGTGTATAATACCTGGCACATAGTAAGTGTTCAATTTATGTTAGCTACTTGGACAGATATTATTCATTCAAAAAATTTATCAAGCCCTTGGTTTTTACCCAGAATTGTGCCAGACTCTTTATTGACTTGAACAAATGTTGTACAATTTTCAAAACATCCTCACAACACTACCTGCTGGTCAGGTAGAAAAGCTGTCATCATCTGTCCTCATGGAACAGAAGGGGAAACTGAGGTTCAGAGAAGCGGGCCTATGGCAGGCTGCTCAAGGCCTGTGTTCTTTCTGCCTCCCACTCACATCATTACCCTCTGCAGGGGCATTTTTGGTTGCCGCCAGCTCCGTTGATGTCCCGCTCTCCTCCTTCTAGTGGTCATCACTCTGGACCCCCAGACCGCCAGCCGGAGCCTGGTCCTCTCCGAAGACAGGAAGTCGGTGAGGTACACCCGGCAGAAGGAGCACCTGCCCGACGGTCCCCTGCGCTTCGACGGCCTCCCGGCGGTGCTGGGCTCCCCGGGCTTCTCCTCGGGGCGCCGCCGCTGGCAGGTGGAGGTGCAGCTGGGCGACGGCGGCGGCTGCACGGTGGGGGTGGCCGCGGAGGGGGTGAGGAGGAAGGGCGAGATGGGCCTGAGCGCCGAGGAGGGCGTCTGGGCTGTGATCATGTCGCACCAGCAGTGCTGGGCCAGCACCTCCCCGGGCACCGACCTGCCGCTGAGCGAGATCCCGCGCGGCGTGGGCGTCGCCTTGGACTACGAGGCCGGGCGCGTGACCCTCCTCAACACCGAGACGCAGGCGCCCATCTTCACCTTCGCCGCCTCTTTCTCTGGCAAAGTCTTCCCTTTCTTTGCCGTCTGGAAAAAAGGTTCCTGCCTTACTTTGAAAGGCTGAGGTGGAGCACGCGAAAGGGCGGTGTAGTGGAGAGAGCGGTGCCTGGGGATCCAGATCCGCTCCTGGCCAGCCGCGTGGCCTTGGACGACTCAGTGTGCCCAAGTGAGGCAGGAGGACAGAAGAGCTCAGAATCCCGAACGGTGGTTGTGTTCACTTTAGTTACCTCATGCCCTTCAGCTCCCAGATGTCCTGATCCTCCTGGTGAAGCTCCGGCCTTCTCTGCACCTGCTGGTGGAGAACCAGAGGCAGGCTAGGCTGTGCCTCGGACATCAGCAAAGCTGGGAGCCAGTGTGCTTTTGAAAGAAAAATCTCAAATAAAAAATTTAAAGCTTGAAAATAATTATCACAGGGAAAAACCAGGATTTCCTGGGCTTGCACTGATTTATACAGTTCACTGTTTGTTTTTTTTGACACACACCTGTAGAGGCCTTCACCTTCGTGGGGTTTAGGGCCTCGTCATTAGCCCTAAGTGGGCCCCAAGACCCCTTCCTTTTTGACTCCCTTCAGGTCATTTCTCTAGACTTGTGGAAAATGTCCTAATAAAGCATGCAACCCACAGACTTCTGTATTTCATGTGTGTCTAATTAGTGCTGATGAAGCTGAAGGAAAAGCTTAAATCCAGTGGAATCTGTCTGCTGTGACAATTTAGGGCTTACGTAGGTGGGAGTGGGGGGTCTCAGAGAGGATGGCTTCTGATCCCTCTGTGACCAAGACACAATCCTGTTCCTTCTTTGACACAGGACTTCCCTGATGACAGTGGGACAATCACCAGACCACGTTGTCTAATAAAATGAGGCTTTTGTTCAGGTTTAACTTCTCAAATATTAATTATTACTACAGTTATCATCTGGACACGGAAACAAACACAGGTTAAAATAACTTTACAAAGCGAGGTATAAATCCTTGTAACGGTGATAGTTCTCCCCATACCCACCTGTTCTGGTTCTAGTTATTTCTTCTCTCAGGTTGAACACTCACACTGCCAACCCCTGAAGAATTCTGCCCTCATCCCTAATCCAGGTTCCCTCTAGTGTAAGACGATACTCTGTGTACAAGAGCACCTTTGTTATCGCATGAGCCCTGCTCCTGAAGTGTGGGTCAGATGTTTTGAGAGGCACTGTAAGAGCTTTTACCATATGTAAATTTTACTACAAAATTGTAACATGAATCATTGTGATGTGAATAATTACTCCTAATTTAACTGTTTCTTTTATATCAAAGACCTCTTGATATAATAAGGTCTCTGATATAAAAGAAAGCAGACTACTTGGTTTCTTCCGTCCCCTAGTGCGGTGAGCAGAAGCACCTGTCTGAGTGTGTCTGATCCAGAAAAACCAAATGGCTTGGTAGTCCAACCTAGTAGTAATAGTATTGCCTAGTGTTTGTTATAAAAGTAGTATATGCTCATGGCTGAAAAAAAACTCAATCATTTTCAAAGTGTATAAGTAAAAAACCTCTCTTCACCCACTTAACACTTCCCCTTGCCACCTGTAGTTAATCACTGGTGTCAACTTTTTGTGTACCCTGTCAGTTTTGAATACAAGTATATATAGCTTTTTTTTTTATAACACAAATGAGATTAAGCCATGAATACTCTTTCAACCCTTCCAAAAACTATATGCAACACATGCTCATTGTAACACTTGTCAAACATCACAGAATGCTGTAAAGCTTTTTTTTTTTCCGAAAATACACATCTTCATTTGAACCTTATAACAAACCTATGAAATACATAGGACTTATTTTATTTTTCTCATTTTGTGGCTGAGAAAACTGGCACACAGTTGAATGAACTTGTCTAACAACTTTCACAGCTGGTGCTTCAGGCCCTGGTGCTCAGTCCCTTCACTCAATGACCTTTCCACCAGGCGGAGACTTTCCCAACAGATAAATCCCATGGGGCTTGGTTTCATTTGCTATGCATTGAACTAGTGTTTTAGATAGGCAGGGCATTCTTGGTTGAGTATGAAATAGAAAAACAAACGAGTTACACTGTATTTGCAGATCTCTAATACTTCTAATTTTAGGGCGGTCCAGATAATTTAGGTGTGTGAATATGGCATATTTGGAGCTCTGTACCCAAATTAAATTGCCTAAGGGGAAAGTTTGGGAGTGGCCACAACCCCAGCGGAGGAGGACTGAGAGCTGCCTGGAGGAAAAGGGAAAAAATCCACGTGGTGGCTTGTCTAGAGAGTTTATCTGGGTTCCAGTGTTTGTGATGTAAAACCGTTCCCTTTCTCCCCTACAGGATCGTTAGCACAATCTACACTGCTCCAAATGCTTTTGTAAGAGCCCCTGATTTCCAGGGAACGTAAGAGTGTTGAATTCTGTCCACTACTGGGCAGGAGGCAAAAAGAGACCCCACAAAAGAACTGCCAGGCTGCTGGATTATGAGAGCAGCAGTTGCATCGAGGTGCCTCACAGAACCAGAAAGGTTGTTGTAAGCACCCAGGTGGGATCTGTAAGGAAATCTTTCTGGAGCCCAAGAACAGTGATTACAGTGGGCTGGATATGGAATTAGAGCCGAGGCTGATACACTGTCTCTCTAGTCCACTTGCTTTGCTCTGTGTGTGGGGCCCATTCTCCTGTCCACGAGTAGGCTCACTGGCTTTACTCATGTCCTTTATTTTCCTTCTCATTTTCAGTTCTTTCCTTTTTATGGACTTGCAGTGTAGAGTCAACTTAATCATATTCCTCAGTTCTTGGAGCACCATCATCACCAGCCCATACGAGGTCTTCTTGTTTTATTTGTATTTTTTCCTTTATCTCCAATTCTCATTCCCATTCACCTCTTCTCCATAGGCAGCCTCTCTAATGTTTTTCGTATGTCCTTGGGTACATAGGGATCCCTGAATATACAAATAGTACTGCACTAGTTCTGGTTTTTTGGGTTTTTTTTAACCCAGTACCATGGTTTTAAGATTTAGTCATATGGCTGTATGCACATCTAGTTTATGGCTTCTAATTGCTGAATGGTATTCTATAGCACTCACCTGCCACATTTATTATATCTTCTTTTGGTGAAGAACATATAGGTGACTTCCATGTGCCAATGACAACAAGCAACACAGTGATGAACAGCCTCATACCTTTCCCTTATGAACTTGCGTAAGAACCTAAGATAAATCCCAGGAACGGATGACTTGTATTTGCCCAATTAATTTCCTTAAGCACCACTAAATTGCTCCCCAGAATGGCTAGCTCTGTTTACACCTCCACCAGAGGGGCATGGAGATCCTGCTTCCCCACACATACTAACAATAGGTACCAGCAAACTTGCTACTTTCTGAAAACCTGATGACTATAAAGTGATATCTCACTATTGTTTTATTTTTGCCTTTTTCTGACTACCTGTGAGGTTAGCATCTCTTCTGGAATTTTCTATTTATGGCTTTTGCCTACTTTTCAGTCTCCTGTCTTTCATTGACTTCCAGGAATTTCTTACATATTCTAGATATTAATCTCTAGATCATTTTAGACTAGAAAATATCACCCATTTATTAACATTTACTATGGTATTATTCATTAGAAACAAAGTTTGAATTTTGGTAATAAATTTCTTGAATTTTTCACTTTGTATTTTATGTTTTTAAAGTCTTTTTCACCACCACGAGATCATAAATACGTTTCATATACATTTGTTCCCACTAGTTATATAAATTTATTGTCCACATTAATGTCTTCATCTAGTGTGAAGAAGACAACCGAGCTTATTTTTCCCCAATAGTAAGCCATTTTTCCAACTCCATTCTACTTAAACAATCCATCTGTTCCCACTGATTCGTGGTGCCACCTCTAATATACCAATTTCCCATGAACAGAGGAGTTGTTTCTGAGCTTTCTGTTCTATTGGTCTATTTGTCTTTTCCTGAACCAGTACATCTTATTTTTTATTGCTACAATTTGTAGTATACCTCAGTGTCTAATGGAGCCACTCTCCCTTCTTTGTTTCTTTTTCAAATTTATCTCAGCTATTCGCAGACCTTTATGCTTCCTTACAAATTTAGAATCAATTTGTCAGGTTCTGTTTTAAAAATACTGTTGGTCTTTTAACTAAAATTACATTGACATGGACTGAAATTTTATTAAATTTGGGGAGGGTTAGAGGAAATTAGCTTGGAGAATTTTGGCATTGTCATCTTGTCCATGAACATGTTATCTCTCTGGCTGTTTAGACCTAGTTTCATGTCCTTTAATTTTGAAACTTGAATATGAGACATTGAAATTTTCTTTACATAACAACTTGGCAATATCTAGTAACATGAATAATGTATATCCTGTTTTGGTTTTTTTTTTTTTTTTTTTGGATGGCTGGCTGGTATGGGGATCAGAACCCTTGATCTTCGTGTTGTAACACCATGCTCTAACCAACTGAGCTAACCGGCCAGCTCTGTATAGGTAAATTTCAAAAACACACTGATGTACAACCAGAAAAAGCAAGACTAAAAATCTATATCTCCATTTTAACAAGTTTGAAAACATGCCCCCCAAAACTGGTATTATTTATGGGAACTTATATATATGGTAATACCATAAAAACAAACGAGGAAATGTTAAATACTTCAGTCAGCCATAGCACTGACCTCTGGTTAGTGAAGATAGGAGGGAATGTGACTGGAAAAGGGATACATGGAGGGATGCAATTGTACTCAAAATATTTTATTTCCTAGGGGAAAACTAAATCATATTTGTTAAAAGATAAGGTTTGATACGGTTGGGTGGTGGGCATACAATTATTCATTAGGTTACT